GTGACCAACAGTCCTACAGGTGGAGGACATAAACTCGTCCACGTCTGACACACTCCTTAAGAAGCCGTGTATACCACCACTCGGGGACCACTCTTGAGGAACCTTCACTATTATCACTAACTTCTTCAGCGTTTGTAGAGACATTCATTTATGTTACTGTTATATACATTTACTTATTATTTGGTAGATGAGTTAAATCATTGTATTAAACGATATTTTAATAAAGAAACTCACTGTTTTGACTTATGTTTATTTTTGTAAATATTGATCCATTATTTAGTAGCTATGATAAGAAGACTCAGAAGACATTAAACTTACTCTTTTTGTGTTGAGGTGGTGGTGTTGTTTACCTTGGTAAGTCTTCAACAGAGCAGAGTCAAGGAAATAACTCACAGCGCATCAGGAATGTACTGATTCATAAACATTCTCAATATACCGGTAGCTCAGTAATATATATTCACTGTGAAACTGGAATAACTTTTAACAGTTAACGTTACATTGTACAGTACAGGTAAGTTCTTAAATCGACAAATTACTGAATTAAGTAAATCCACATAAGAGGCTTTCAGAATGTGACCCTGGACGAGCTCTTGTAACGATAACTTCTGGTAACAGTGTAACACAGTGATGGGGAGAATAATTAACTCTACCGTTACCAACTGTGTAACTGTTACTTGTGACTGTTACTGAATGTGTAACCTTTGTGTGTCTGTTACTTGTTATATGACAACTACTTGTGAAGCTGTCATACATGTAACAAACATGCTGGATGGTCACACTCGTAACAGGCACTTGTGAAGCTGTTACCTTATGTTTTAGCCGAACTAGAACACAGATAAATGTTTATTGGGTTTTAATAGTGAAGCCCAATATGTTCCTTTTCTTAGTTTATTATCAAAAGAGTCTATGTACAGTGTCCAAAGGATAATCACCGTAAGAGTCACTGAAACTGTGAGGGCTATAGGAATGACGGAGCTATCAGGGATAGGCTCTAACGACGTCCAACTGTAGTGAGAACTGAGGAGATACTGCCCAAGGGAGGACGGAGTATCACAGACGTCCTCCTCGAGAGGAAACAGCTCAAGGGAGAAGAGAATATACCAGACGTCCACCCTCGAGGAAAGACGGAGCGCCTCCAGGATGACTCTAATAACGTCCACCTCTCGTGAGTCGTGAGTATAAACTGCCTGCAACAGGTAGCCAGGGAGCCGGTCACTTATGCCTTGACTTAGCACTAAGTGACGAGTCTTCCTGTGGACACACCTTATCACATGCTCTGAACATGAACCTCATAGCTATGGAAGATTAAAGGGGGTGATAATTATACAAGACTAATGTAATTAGCCCACATTTAGATAATATTGCTGCCAATGAGACAGGGCTAATATACTCTCGTTATATAATATTTCTCAACTGACTGTAACATTATAAGTCAACACTCAGACCTCAGATACATGGTTAACTTCCCTATGTGGATGGTTGGTGTTATATAAGACTTGTGGGTAAGGGGTGAGGCCTAACCTTAGAGGCTGGACACAACCTATACAACACACGCTTAACTTAAGTCTACACTATATTGTATCTCAAACTCTGTCAACTAAAGTATAATAAATGATTGACTCTAATACTATCCTAGATGTCTCTATTATAACTAACTCACAGTATAGTACCACTCACTCTAATACATAACAACTGCCTGAGCATATGCTACCACCTAAGGTAATGTGTTGTAACTGATTGTCTGTGTGAAGTTAATTCATTATGATGGCTGACTGACTGTGCTATATCGTACTACCTGAGCTACTGTAAATTACAATAATTTATTGACTTTACGATATACCTAAGTTTGTTTATAAGTGAGTGCAACCTATTACCTAAGATAATGTTTAAAACCTGACTGTCTGTAAGATACTATGTATGCTAATATATAATAAGGCATAACAGCATGGAGGAGAGACAGGCACATTGTATGGCTAGCGCGGGCCAGAAATACCAGCACGTCACCAGCAGACAGAACATGTTGAAGGTTCGTGTCAGTCACAACAATACAGTAATACTTTGTGTACAACATTAACCAACATCATCACTATTGTAGAAATTCTATATAAAGAAGTGGGGAATATTTCCAGTGGTCAAGCGAAGATCACAGCAGAAATATAAGTGGCAGGCAGCAGACCTCAGTTACTGGAGATGCTAGAGTGTCTTCTTAAAAGGACTTGACTACTTCAATCTTGCTAGAAATATAACATATTATGGCAGACGGTCAGTGCGCCTGCACCTTAGTACAAAATATGTATTGTATTCGTGTTTTTTTATAAGTAAAGGCTAATAATTAATAACTCAATGATTTGTTTGTTCAAAGTTTTTTCTCTCACGATGGACTTAGTAATTTATATATCTCATTCTATTGTCATATTTATTTTTTTCGATGCTGTTGTAAGTTATTTCATGTTTTAGGTCTGACGATGATAAGAGATGTTGTCATAACATTGCGCAATAAATGTTGTTGTTTAACCTTACTTAAAGATCTGAAACAAATAATCAAACACCCTACACGTGTTCCTGATCGACAAGATCAACTTACTAACATTCTTGATCTTTGTTTTACCTCTAACCCCTCGCACTATTCATACTCAATTTCTGCCCCTTTAGGGTCTTCTGTCAACTATCTATCGGAGGGCAAGCTGGCAATCCTTGCGAGAATTCTTCTCCGAATTACCTTGGGATTGAATGTTGCTTTTCCAGTCGGGACGCCTCGTTATGTGCTGACAGCATTGCTGGGGTTATACAGTGCGGTATCAGTGCACTTATCCCATCTTCTACCAAAACTTTCACTTTTCATTCATGGTTTGATCGCTCCTGTTCTCTTGCATGTAGGGAGAGAGGTAGGGCGTATCAGCTTATGAAACTATCTCCTTCTCCTTCTTCTTTTTTTACGGGATTTAGCCCACCAGGACACAGGTCGAACGACTCACGACGAAAAAGGGGGCGAAAAAATAAGAATACAATGAAATTAAAGATAGAAAAAAAGGTTACATTGATCTACACCGCGAAGATGCCGGAAAACCAACTTCTTAAAGTAAGACAGATTGTATGACTATGGAAACTCAGAAGAAGGCAGAGTTTTCCACAGTTTGGCTGTGTGAGGAAAGAAGGAGGTACTATAACGGGTTATTCTAGTGTGACCGACATCCACAGAGATATGGTGGGCACAGCGGACAAGACGTGTGTTACGAGCCCGCGACCTTCTTGGCGGTACACAGGATGCCAAATCCACCGAACATTGCCCGTTAAAGTACCTGTATAAGAGAGAGAGTGAAGCAATATTGCGGCGAACAGAGAGGAAAGAAAGATTGTCAACTAATGAAGGAGAGTTAATAAGACGAAATGCCTTTGATTCCACCCTATCTAACAGTTGGACAGAAGAGCCACCCAAGATATGAGAGCAGTACTCCAAGTTCGGACGAATGAATCCCTTACATACTTGAAGCAACTGCTCAGCGGTGAAGTAGCTACACCATCTGTACAGCATTCCCAGCTTTCGGGAGGCAGCTTTAGCAGTGTTGAGGATGTGTGGCTTCCTTGACATATTAGGGGAAATGGTGAGGCCTAGCATATCTATTTTAGAATTTTGCAGAATAATTGCATCCTGAAACGTGATTGGTGAGAGATCATCTAGTATAGAAAGATTAATTGGTAAATACTGAGTTTTATTACTATTGAATTTAACCAAGTTTCCACCTCCCCAGTCGGAGATGCTGCACAGATCGGCATTGATAGGTGTGATGATATCAGCTCTAGAAACAGATCTAGTTTGAGAGTTAGGGGGAAGGGGAAAATGTGAAGAAGAATGAAGAGTAGAATGATCAGCGTAAGAATGGATAGTTGAGACCAAAGGACATGGAACTCTTCTATTGACCTTAGTTGAGACTAAGGTGAACCAACCCGTTCCAGCGTCTGTAAGAACCCAGTGCTGTCATCAGCGAAACCGAGAAGTTCCTGGTGCTTGTTTGTTTCCTTATATATGTCTGTCAACTCACAAACACTCCTTGGCCTGACGCCATCACTATACTTGTCCTGTATATGATCTCCGACTCTGAACTCTACTCATACTGTCCTGGTACTGTTTGTAACAGACTAAAATTATCAGTTATAGTCATGGAAAATTTGTAATGATTGAGGTTAATAATGTGTAGGAAGAGGAATTAAAATGTAAAGTTTCAAATTATTAGGAAGATCTACATGATTTCAGTGTTTGGTAATATATGTTGCCGTGTTAAGTCCCTTTGTGTTTGTCATGTGAGAGACTCATTGGTAATATTTTGGTCTAAGAAAGATTGTTTCATAAAATATTTTCTCCCGTAAAATAATATTGTTTTCTTAAGAATTGTCAGTGTCTCGTTCCGTAGTACTGGACAGCCGAAAGGGGCTGTTAGGAAATCCATTTAAATTATAATATATTTATTAATGGCCGTTTAATAAACAATTGTATTAACAACATAAACATTAAGAAACAAGTATTTCCCTCATCAGAGAAGTAGGGTGTACAGACACACTCTATAACAAACACTAAACTTTATCAAAAGACTTAAGACAAACTTTTCATTATCACCTCATAGAATTGTATTAAGGTCTTGAGGCGTAGAGAGACTTAACAATTATTATTAATCTGAACGACTATAGACGGTAGTTAGTTCTGAGACAGTTAGGTTATACATTATCCCCTGTCTAACAGACAGTAATACTTATATAAATGTGCACTATATAATTACTACACCCACGGTGAGTAAACTATGAGCCAGTGTCTACCATTTTCTCTCTAATACTGAAGTTAGTGATGTATGGTAATGAATCTTCTTGTCTAACAGATGACCTCTTGACATCTGACCTATAGCCCTGTGACCTGGCTATGTCAACAGTAAGGACCAGACCCCTGGCCTGACTCTACCCTCAGTCCTACACTCTCTCTCGCTCATGATACACGTGAGTCTCCTGAACCTCAGATACATATCAGCTTCATATTTTTATTAACGCTCACAGCTCAGAGCGTTAATGACGGTAATGTCATAATTTAACCCATAAACATTTATTTATGATACTTCCAAGGAACTTGGCAGTGTTTAAACAGGATCTGTCCCACCCGGGTCGGAGGTGGGGTACAACTCAGCATTAGTAAGGATGGTGGTGGTAGCTGCAGGGGTAGTACCAGCGGCTATCCTCTATAGTACCAAGAAGGCTGGTTGTAGTGTTGGTTGTACTGGTTGTAGTACCAGGTGGGCCGTGGTCTAGGTCGGGGACCAAACACCACTTGTGGTCGGTAATTACTGTTGGGGTTGTGTACTATCGCTCCCTGTAGTGAAAAAGGAAACACCACATTAGCCACAATACTGTATGTAAGACGACATATAATACAATAATAATATAGTACCAAATAATAATATTTTAAACCGTGATTTATTCTGTAATGTTGTTATATTTTGTCTCCTCTATGGTCGCCATCTTCCTGACCTCAAAACTTAATATTCCATAAATGCAGAAACAAACACGCCTGGTATACAACAGACACAAACACGCCTGGTATACAACAGACACAAACACGACTGGTATACAACAGACACAAACACGCCTGGTATACAACAGACACAAACACGCCTGGTATACAACAGACACAAACACGCCTGGTATACAACAGACACAAACACGTCTGGTATACAAAACAGACACAAACACGCCTGGTATACAACTGACACAAAAACGCCTGGTATACAACATACACAAACACGCCTGGTATACAACAGACACAAAAACGCCTGGTATACAACAGACACAAACACGCCTGGTATACAACAGACACAAACACGTCTGGTATACAACAGACAACAGACACAAACACGCCTGGTATACAACAGACACAAACACGCCTGGTATACAACAGACACAAACACGCCTGGTATACAACAGACACAAACACGTCCTGGTATACAACAGACACAAACACGCCTGGTATACAACAGACACAAACACGCCTGGTATACAACAGACACAAACACGCCTGGTATACAACAGACACAAACACGCCTGGTATACAACAGACACAAACACGCCTGGTATACAACAGACACAAACACGTCTGGTATACAACAGACACAAACACGCCTGGTATACAACAGACACAAACACGCCTGGTATACAACAGACACAAACACGCCTGGTATACAACAGACACAAACACGCCTGGTATACAACAGACACAAACACGCCTGGCCTGGTATACAACAGACTGGTATACAACAACACGCCAAACACGCCTGGTATACAACAGACACAAACACGCCTGGTTTACAACAGACACAAACAAATATTTAACACAGGACTAACCACACATATACTTTACTATTATTAAAGTTAAGCAATTAACACAATATCCGTCCATATAAACTGGGTAACACTATTAATGAGTTGAGACAGAGTGTTGTAAAATTCTGTCCCTTTCCTCATGTTAGTCAAGATCTTAACAAAACAGAATAAATTTGTGTAAAACTGCTACTTTTTAACAACTCAAGGTAAAATATCTCCTCTCAGCTAAAATTAAAAGTAAAACTTTAAAGATAATATCAATCAATTTTGTCCTCAAAGTAAAAATAATCTAAAGCAAGAAATTTTAACATTACCGTGCTGGGGTTCGTTGCATCAACTCCACCGTCATAGAAATAAGAAGCCTCTTCCAATGCCTGCCGGACGTGTCTGTTTCCATGGCCTCTTGACAACCCCAAGTTCTCTGTGCAGAAAGGCATCACAACACAATGTTTTAAAATAAGAATCTTCAACCTAATACAGATAACATAGTATTAGTCTTCATTTTACTGCATGGCCTAATATAAGTAACTACTGTAGTACACGTATCACAACATGAAGATCATAATGTCTTCTTACAGCTATAGAATTGTGATAAGTCCCTACCAGAGTGAGCAGGTGCGGGCGTGTAGCAGAGAGCCAGCAGCAACACCCACGTCAGGTAGGTCAGGTAGCCAGCCATCACCTTCACTGTGTCCAGGTAGGTAAAGTATATGAGTCAGCTCACTGTGTCCAGGTAGGTAAAGTATATGAGTCAGCTCACTGTGTCCAGGTAGATAAAGTATATGAGTCAGCTCACTGTGTCCAGGTAGATAAAGTATATGAGTCAAATCACTGTGTCCAGGTAGATAAAGTATATGAGTCAAATCACTGTGTCCAGGTAGACTAAGTATATGAGTCAACTGTGTCCAGGTAGATAAAATATATGAGTCAACTCACTGTGTCCAGGTAGATAAAGTATATGAGTCAACTCACTATGTCCAGGTAGACTAAGTATATGAGTCAACTGTGTCCCGGTAGATAAAGTATATGAGTCAACTCACTGTGTCCAGGTAGATAAAGTATATGAGTCAACTCACTGTGTCCAGGTAGACTAAGTATATGAGACAACTGTGTCCCGGTAGATAAAGTATATGAGTCAACTCACTGTGTCCAGGTAGATAAAGTATATGAGTCAACTCACTGTGTCCAGATAGACTAAGTATATGAGTCAACTGTGTCCCGGTAGATAAAGTATATGAGTCAACTCACTGTGTCCAGGTAGATAAAGTATATGAGTCAACTCACTGTGTCCAGGTAGATAAAGCATATAAGTCAGCTCACTGTGTCCAGGTAGATAAAGTATATGAGTCAACTCGCTGTGTCCAGGTAGACTAAGTATATGAGTCAACTGTGTCCAGGTAGATAAAGTATATGAGTCAACTCACTGTGTCCAGGTAGATAAAGTATATGAGTCATCTCACTGTGTCCAGGTAGATAAAGTATATGAGTCAACTCACTGTGTCCAGGTAGGTAAAGTATATGAGCCAACTCACTGTGTCCAGGTAGATAAAGTATATGAGTCAACTCACTGTGTCCAGGAAGACAAAGTATATGGGTCAGCTCACAGTGTCCAGGTAGATAAAGTATATGAGTCAACTCACTGTGTCCAGGTAGTCAAAGTATTATGAGTAAAACTCACTGTGTCCAGGTAGACAAAGTATATGAGTCAGCTCACTGTGTCCAGGTAGATAAAGTATGGGTCAGCTCACAGTGTCCAGGTAGATAAAGTATATGAGTCAACTCTGTGTCCAGGTAGTCAAATATTATGAGTAAAACTCACTGTGTCCAGGTAGATAAAGTATATGAGTCAGCTCACTGTGTCCAGGTAGATAAAGTATATGAGTCAACTCACTGTGCCAACTATAAGTCAGTTAGGTAGTATAGTCAGCTCACTGTGTCTAGATAAAGTATATGAGTCAGCTCACTGTGTCCAGGTAGATAAAGTATATGAGTCAGTTCACTGTGTCCAGGTAGATAAAGTATATGAGTCAGCTCACTGTGTCCAGGTAGATATAGTATATGAGTCAGCTCAATGTGTCCAGGTAGATAAAGTATATGAGTCAGCTCACTGTGTCCAGGTAGATAAAGTATATGAGTCAGCTCACTGTGTCCAGGTAGATATAGTATATGAGTCAACTCACTGTGTCCAGGTAGATAAAGTACATGAGTCAGCTCACTGTGTCCAGGTAGATAAAGTATAAGAATAAGAACATTGAGTTTGGACACCTACTATACGTACTGTATATGCGTTAGCTGACCTTCATCCAACACACCACCAGTCACTTTATTTCTCCTCCGCTGCGTAGAAACTGTTGGTCGGGGAGGAAGTACAGTCCACCCTCTACTAGACCCCCAGCCTCCACCCACCAACATACTACGACTCAATATCACCTTCACCTACCCACCACACTCACCTACTAACACCTAACATTCATGGCCATCAACACTCAGCTGCTACACCTGACTCACAACAACCAACACACATTACTCTTAAGCCCCTCCAATACAAATACCTACAGTAATTTCTCTCTCTCTCTCTCTATATATATATATATATATATATATATATATATATATATATATATATATATATATATATATATATATATATAAATCTTGATAAAATCACACGGGAAAAGGGAAACAACAGAGCACCTTAGCTTTCGTCTTTATTCAAGACATCTTCAGTTGCCTCTGAAGGTGTCTTGAATAAAGACGAAAGCTAAGGTGCTCCGTTGTTTCCCTTTTCCCGTGTGATTTTATCAAGATTTATCTTATCCACGTTTTCATTGTGGATCTACATGATATATATATATATATATATATATATATATATATATATATATATATATATATATATATATATATATATATATATATATATATATATATATATATATATATATATATATATATATATATATATATATATATATATATATATATATATATATATATATATATATATATATACGATAAAACTGACCTTACCTGTTTACAGTTGACAGTATTCTTAGCTCAGACAGCGAAAAAGGAACCAGTGTGTGAGTGTGTATGTACCCAGCGTCGCGCCACCACCAGCCAGACTGAGGAGTTCCTCTTGCCCGCTGCCTTTTATGTCTACTAGCAGTAACGCCGCCCTCCGAGCGGCTCTTTCGCTAGGCCACGGTAGGACGCCACCCACCGGGAGGCTCCACATTGTCTCACTGTTCAGTCCCGAAAACTTATTCTTCCATCAATAGTTCATTGACGGTGTATGTAAGTTCCACCATGTTTTTCACTACAACGGTACAGCAAAGTATATATTTTAGCATTAAACTGTTATTATTTTATTGTCTAATCATCACTACATATAACACCATCCATCATCACTACATATAACACCATCCATCATCACTACATATAACACCATCCATCATCACTACATATAACAACATCCATCATCACTACATATAACATCATCATCATCACCACTACATATAACACCATCCATCATCACTACATATAACACCACCCATCATCACTACATATAACACCACCCATCATCACTACATATAACACCATCCATCATCACTACATATATCACCATCCATCATCACTACATATAACATCATCATCCATCACCACTACATATAACACCATCCATCATCACTACATATAACATCATCATCCATCACCACTACATATAACAACATCCATCATCACTACATATAACATCACCCATCATCACTACATATAACAACATCCATCTTCACTACATATAACATCACCCATCATCACTACATATAACAACATCCATCTTCACTACATATAACACCATCCAACATCACTACAGATCGGTAAAGTAGTTTCCAAGATTCTCGTGCGGACACACACACACACAGACCTACTTCTGTGTTTTATATATATAGATGAACTAACACACTCTCCTTGTATGGGCGAACTTACTGACGTAATCATGAAGGTAAATTCCCTGTAAATGTTCCCCGACTCCTAACACTAGGTGTTGATACTTTCTTAGAACTGTTTTTGGAGGTTAGTAATCCCAGTAATAATAACACTGTTACCTGCGCTTCCTTGTTATGAAGCAATTATTTTAAAAATAATATTTTTTCCTACCCTGACTCAGGCCACCAAATTTAGAGACACTCATGACGAGGGAAGTAGTCTGAAATCTTTGTCTGGTCTTCAGATCATCTTTGTCCGCTCTTCTAATGGTCTTTGTCCGATCCTATGATCGTCTTTGTCCGATCCTCTGATGGTCAGAGTCCGATCCTCTGATGGTCTTTGTCCGATCCTCTGGTGGTCTTTGTCCGATCTCCTGATGGCCTTTGTCCGATCTCCTGATGGTCTTTGTCCGATTCTCTGATGGTCTTTGTCCGATCCGCTGGTTTTGTCCGATTATCTGATGGTCTGTGTCCGATCCTCCGATGGTCTTTGTCCGATCCTCCGATGGTCTTTGTCCGATCCATATGACCTAGACTGTTGTGGCGCTAAGATCATATTCATAATCCTTCATTCATTATTGGATCCTCCCATTATGGCTGCCTGTTTGGTCAAGTTTGTTTTGGGACTAACCACTGCCTCTATCACCTGAGGAGTTTCCACCCCTGTCGGCCAACTAGGGTACACGTCCACCCTCTAAGGTGGAAACCAGCGACCCTCAGAACCAAATGACTCAATCTGGAAACCTCCCTCAACAGTCATCTTAATTCTGTTGGTTGTAGCACTTGTGAGTACGTTACCCTCCACTATTATAACTTTCTTTCATATTCCATTTTCACACCTCAGTGACCCTGAGTTTTTGCTGTTCCTTAATCAGTACCAATATTCCTACACTGATGATGCTGGTGTTGTTCCCTTAGATGTGCTAGACCGTATGTGTTACACCCCCTTTACCCATGGTGTCGACACAATACTCCCTCATGTTGATCCTGATGCCTTTCTACAAAACTCACTGGGTTACACCAACCCCAACTGTACCTCTTACCTTCCTGACTCTCCACAGTGTAGTTCTAGTCTTCTTCTACCTCATTCCTTCTCCTTAATTAGCCATAACATCAGCAGTATTCCCCTTCATCTAGATACCTTTTTAGATCAGTGTTTATCTTCTATTGCCCACAAATTTGATGTACCTGGGTTCTGAGACCAAACTCACTAACGATATTGAACATTTGTATAACATTCCTAATTATAATAGACACTGCGTCAACACGTCACGACACAGTGGTGGTGTCGCCCTATATGTTGATATCAAGTTAACACTTCTGTAAGAGATTATTTAAAGGTTCAGGAGGAGTACAGGGAGAGTGTTTTCATTGAATTACGTAACGACACACGAAATATCCTAGTAGGAGTAATCTACAGAAGACCCCACACTAATGTAAGGAACTTTCTTGATAAATTTTCGGAGCTTATCTCTATCATAAGTTCAAAGAGGAAACTTTTCTACCTTACAGGAGATTTCAACCTTGATCTATTAAAATCAGAAACCGACACCTTCTTGCAACCTATTATTCTAAGCTCTTCTTCAACACTATAACCAAACCCACTAGAGTAACTGCCACCTGTGCCACTGTTACCAGTTTTTGCCATGTATAAAACAGCCACATGACCTCAAAGGCCGAGTAGAAAACAACTTACTGAATGCTAACTGGGATCTTGTCTATGCCTCCGACAACCCTAACGTGAACTTCTGCAAGTTCTCTTGCATCTTCAAAGCTTCCTATGATAAATGCTTCCCCCTCAAGACTAAGTCAGTGAAAACTGTATCCATTTACCAAACCCTATATCACAAGTGAAATCAAGGCAATTTTAAAAGAAAAATACAAACTCCAAAGGAAATTTGCAAAAAGACCTATAACTTTCGGTGATGCTTACCGAAGTATCAGAAATAGAGTAACTCAAGCAATTAGAAATGCCTAACGTAGTTATTATACAAATAAGCTCCAGTCAGCATCAGGCAACAGTAAGAAAATCTGGAATATCATAAATTCTATTCAGAACAGGAACGCTCAGCCTTCGGCCTCCCACTCGGAGCTCTCCCTCATTACCAACCACTTTAATGACTAATTTATCAATGTTGGCAAAAATCTTGTAGAGAGCATCCCTGATCACCATGAGGAATCAAGAGCCTACCTGCAAAACAGACAGCAAAATGTCCAAAGATGCAGCAGCAGCCGAAGACATACTGTATACTGTACCAATGAGCATCATTAAGAAAGTAGCCCACTTATTACTACCAGTTTTCCTACACATTTGTAACTCCTCCTTCACTAGTGGTGTCTTTCCGGATAAACTGAAAATTGCTATATTTCACCCAGCAAAAAAAAATCTGGGGACAAAAGTCTCTTCAAGAATTACCGCCCCATATCAGTCCCCCCAGCCTTGAGTAGGATACTGGAGAAGCTAGCATGTAGTAGACTAAATTCCTTCTGCAATGCCAATAACATCTTTACAGACTCCCAGTTTGGATTTAGAGCTAGAAGGTCGACTGAGAGTGCTCTGCTATCCTTTACTAATGACATCTTAAACACCTTTGATGACAGTCAGTTCACAGTAGGTATATTCTTGGACCTCTCTATGTAAACTTCTCCTGAAGACTCACACTTATGTCTTGAAGTTGTACTACCACGACCATGATTATAACAACCAAGACCATGATTATAACAACCATGATTATAACAACCATGACCATAATTATAACACCCACGACCACGATTATAACAACCACGACTATAATTATAACAACCGCGTCCATGATTATAACAACCACGACCATGATTATAACAACCAAGACCATGCTTATAACAACCATGATTATAACAACCATGACCATAATTAAAACACCCACGACCACGATTATAACAACCACGACTATAATTATAACAACCACGACCATGATCATAACAACCACGACCATGATTATAACAACCACGACCATGATTATAACAACCACGACCATGATTATAACAATCACGACCATGATTATAACAACCACGGCTATGATTATATCACCCACGACCATGATTATAACAACCACGACCATGATTATAACAACCACGACCATCCGGAAAACGATGTTGCTGTACTCTGTCAGCCGGACGGCAGTTGTGCGCTAGCCAAGCAAGAGCGTTCGAACTTTCACCCCTCGGTAAACTGTACGACCTGACTCGCCACCGGGCACGAAGGGCCCACTATCACTTGTTATTATTATATACGGTATAGAAGATGGGAATGATAATAGTCCTATAGCGATAATTTAATGTCTTTCTCTTATATTTGTTGCAATCCATGATAAGGGTCCTGCAGTTCAAAGCAGTTACTTGAAGGGCACAAGAGGACAGTTCCGAGAAGCCAAGTTAGCGAGTATACAGTTAACCCGGACGGGACTTATTATACTGGGTGTATGTTTATCTCATCAAGTGTTCCTGGGTGGCGTGACACAAGCCTCAGTATATTTAGTCTTAACCTTTCAAAGGCTTAAACTTACACATGAAAATTCTGGAGATAATTAATACAGTTTTACATGTTACTCGTGTATGAGGAAGAACAACATACTGTACTACTGGTTGGCCATGGCAACAGCGCACTTGCCGCAGTTAGCAAGACCATCCGGAATCACTTACCACTTAACCAAGGTTAACCAGGTTCTCGTGTCGGTACCTCGCTCAACAGGGTGAGACAATACAAGAATGTTACCTAGCCTTGATCCTTTCTTGCCCCCTGACTTAATGATCAGCGCTGTAGCTTGTGTTAGTACATAACTAAAGGCACAGCCAGACATGAGGGATAAAGAAGTTACAACATATAGTCGTGGGGAAAAGGTTGGAAGGCATGCTGGGGCTCAAGGCACAGCCAGACATGAAGGCTAGAGAAGTCACGACGTATAGTCGAGGGGGGAAGGTTGGAAACGAAGTGTAATGAGTTAAACAGAGGGGGACGACACCCCTTGTTTCACATATTACCACTCTGCCACCTCTCAATACTCCTTCTATAGAACCTACAAGACTTACCGTACATTTTAACAATAGTTTCAGCGTCCTGGTCATACACTACTACTGGTATACTCCACAAATTACACCCTACTAACTGGCTCAAAGCAGTTAGATACATC